ATATATTATTATATATTATATATATTATATAATATATATATATATATATATATATATATATATAATTAATAATATATATAAATATATGTAAACCTATTGAAATACATACATTTAAATTTGTGTATTTGTTTTTTTTTAAGACTTCATTAGATGAGTCAGGAAGTGAGGGCAAGCGTTCCCCCATGGGAAGCACACGAGGAACTGTATCAGGGAGATCAAAAGCGAAAATGGAAGCATTAGATAACTTGGTCATATCCACAATTCATTCCCTGTCTGTCAAAGTTCGCACCACTTCTGAAACTCTACTACAGAAACTCAAGTAAGTTTTGGTCCTGATTTTTCATTTAGGGCTTCATAAGATAGAAAGCATTGCAATTGAAATACAGTCTGGCTGAAAGCTTAGTTAAAAGTGAAGTTGTTTATTTGCTATCACTTCTAAAATTAGGTACAGAAATTATGGTTAAATGTTATGAATAATATGATAGTGATCTATGAATCAAATCACATCATATGAAATGCTTTTTAGTGTTTTATCCTCTACTTTCACAAGAACAGCATTTTAAGTATAAGGAAAGAGGTGAGTTTCAGCTTATGATGCAATATTTATCAATAGGTCACAGTATGATGAGGAAGGAGATCGTGCAGCGTTACTGGAAGAAGTTTTAGCACATCTAAGTGAGATGTGAAAACACTGTCCATCGGGCAGACCAGATCGACTTCTCGTGAACTGGCTGGTATTCTGCGCAACCTCAAGAAGATTGAGCATGCTCTTGAAGGTGAGAGTAGTATATCCTATTTGTAGAAGAACCTTTAATCAGCATAGTGTACTGATAGTGATACGGATATATGGGCCAGTAGTGTAATATCAATAGATACATATTTCTTTTATTTGAATGAATCAAACCTCAGTGTCTTTATTGCAGTACACTTAGGTTTGACTATTACTTGCATTCTGTAACATCTTGGGTATTGCTAAACTAGGACATATTTTTGAAAAGATATGATCTGTTTATAATACTCTTTACAGAAGTAGGTGAGCTTGTTTATTGTATTGAAGAAACCGAGCCCTAAAATGAAATATTCTTGGTTTAGTTAGTAGCAATGTTATGTTTGGACAGAGTATATAATTTAGTTGATTGCTTAGTCTTTTAGCTGTACTCCCTACATGTAACATCAGTGTATACAGTTATCAAACACCTTTAATTTCTCTATGTTATATTGCCTGATTCCAGAAACCAGAGTTCAGATCCAACAGTACAATAATACATTTCCAACACCAGGATTTTATTAGAGTCCACATAATTCCAGCATGCCTAAACTCTTGATTTCATGGTACCACCTAAATACTGTACATTAGACCACATTAGTCTTTTAAGTTATTTAAGTTAAAAGAAGAATTCAGAAGTTGACCTTCTACTATTATTCACTAAGAGCTTGATGCTTATGTTTTTTTTTCTAATCTACTGAGAAGAAACTTGAACTTGGTGCAACTTACATTTTTACTAACATCCTTGTCTTCTTCTTCTACCTGTCTGCACTTTACCCCTCAGCCCTGAATGATAATGTCCAAGGTCCTGATATTAATGGGTGAGGCACACAGCTTATTTTTGCTACTGCTGAAGCTTCTCATGAGTTTTTAAATGCAGCTGATCTGATAGAATCCTTTCCAGAATTATGATACTGATAGATCTATGTTATCAGTGAGTTTTGCCTTTGTTTAAAAAAGAACATTTACCTTCTCGAGGCAAGGGAAGTAGCACATGCAGGGAAGTGCATGCATGGTTGAAATCCAGATAAGAAGAAAGCAAATAAGTATGAGATGCCTAAATTGCTTTGTGGTTGTATAAAGAGAATTTATTTAAATTGATTCCAGGCATCCTTAATACTGATTTCTAAAAGGTTTAAGAAGAGTTCTTATGTATATGCTGAACTAGAACTGCTTTTTCTTTATTGATTTTAGCAGAGTTTGCTTTCAATTTTGTGGTTCTTATGTAGCAGATGCGAGTCTGTATATTGTATGGAGTTAGACAGTATTCATTAGATGGATACAAAGCCTGAATGTGCAACTTTTTTAGCAAGTGTTAGTACCTTATGTATAACTTGTGAAGTTAAGGATTTTGAATAGTTGTTAGTCATGCAACTTAAAGTGTAAATTAATTATTATGGTTCCTGATATTTCCTTTGAGAACTACAAAAAAGAAGGATAGAAAGATATTACTGGGATTATTTATGTATATATAAAAATTGATGTTTTTATAAAACATGGATATAAATGAATGTGAGTGTGAGGTTATGCATGCCTGTCTCTGTATGTATGTGTGGTAAGTACAGTTTGAACTGTATTCATGTGGACAAATGTGGAAAGGTATGAATGAGAACGAATATCTTCACAATACAAGAGATGTATTTTACCGGTTTCGAATACATCTTTGTCAGAAATACATGTATTTCTGACAGATACATTCCAGACCAGTCAAATATATTTTGTGTATTGTGAAGA